GATGGCAGAGAAGGGACATCTCATGGCCTGATGGCAGGAAGCAGAAAGCAATCAAGGGAAAAGGGAGGGAGATAGACCCTTCTAGGCCATGACCCAGTGATCCATCTTCTGTGATTAGGTTTCAACTCCCCAAGTCACATTTACCTATAAACTCATCAATGGGCTAATCCATTGATGAAATATCACACATCCATGATCCAGTCACCTATCAAAAGCCCTAACTGTGACCCATGAGTTCATGAGGCTTTGGGGGGACATCTGTATATAAACCATAACATTCCTCCCAAAGAATAAAATGCCTAATAGTGCAGAAGTTGGGGCACTTGGGTGCACACATCAGTGAATGGGTCCACACCCTCTCATTGGCTTGGGAATCCCTCTCAAGAACACTGTGTAACCATTTATTGACTTTCCTTTGAAAGAAACCATTGAAAGTTCATTCTGTTTTATTTTTATTTCTGGGTTCAATTTTCTAGGGGCTTTAAACAATGAAACTGCCCAATTTAGAGCTGTGAATTTGTTGAAGGCAATGTCAACAAAGGTAAAATTTTTTAAGTTAATCATCTTACAAGAAACTAATTTTTAGTGTTTTAACAGCCCACATGGAACCAGTCTGAGGAGAGAGCACACAGGAGTCAGGAAATGTAAATACCTGAATTGTCACTCTGTTAGGCAAAAACAATGCTGTAAAAATTGTGATTTCTTCAAATTTTGAGTTTCGAAATGTATAAGCTTATCTTTCGACCTTGGAAAAATCAGAAGCTAAATTTGAGTGTTTCTTTGTTGTCAAGAGCCCATGGATTGCTAGTGGTCTGTTGTTCAGTGCCAGACACCTGGTAGGGGAATGATGCAGACATTAGAGAAGGGAAGGAAATTAAGTGCTAAGGGCCTCGGCACTGCGAAGGGAAAGAATTCAAGAGGCCTGGCTACTCCAGGGGCACAGCTGTTCTCTGTAGATCAGTTAGTCCACATGTAGTGCTGAGCGCTCATGTCTTTCAAGTGCATTTTTAGTCTGAGCCTGCCTCGGATTCCTTTGTGGACTGTGGCAGGCCAAGGTCTGGTGCTTGTCTAGGGAACTGTAGAGCAAGAGACAGACTGAGGGAGGCGTGAGCACCAAGTGGCCTGTGCTGTCTATTCCTGCTTCGTGTTAACTAAGGGACTAGACTCTGTTTATTAAAAAATTAATTTTATTGGTACATTTTAGGTATACAGTATAATAACACTCATCATTGGAAATTTGTACCTTTACATAACATATCTTAGTTCTTATTTTCCCCCCATTCTCCTGCCCTCCCTTCAAACTCTCTACCCCTACCTATTTACAAAGACTTTGTTTCCATTTTTAAATTTTCTTTTCTTTTCTTTTTTTGTACCGTGGATTGAATTCAGGTACCTGTGTGGCATGTCACGGAATTACTGAACTAAATCCCCAGCCCTTTATTTTCTCATATTAATTCCATTCCCTTCATTCTTTTCCCTCTTCCCCTCCCCTCTTTGCTTCTTCTCTTCCTATTTCACATTCCCTATTATATCTTTTGATCCTTATTTACACTTTCAGTCTCTCACACCAGAGAAACTATTCAGTATTTGTACGTGTGTACTATTTATTTCACTTAAGTGTATCACCTCAATGTGCATCTATTTAGCTATAAATGTCTTTAATGTCTCATTATTTATGACTGAGTAGTACTCCATTTTATAAAATAAACCACATTTTCTTTATCCAGTCTCCAGTTGATAAACAATTGGGCTATTTCCAAGTTTTAGCTATTACAAACTGTTCCATATAAACATGGATGCACATATATCACTGTGGTATGATTCAATTCTTTTGGGAAGATACCCAGCAGGGGAATAGCTGGGTCAAAGGGGACCTCCAATCCCAGTTCTTTGAGGTATCTCCATACTGATTTCCACAGTGGTTGCACCATTGTACATTCCTATCAACAGTGGAGAAGAGTTCCTTTTTGCCTACAGCCCCAATTGAATTTGTAATTGATTGATTTCATGATAGCAGCCATTCTTTCTGGGGTGAGGTGGAATCTCAGCATTGTTTTCATTTACATTTCTCCAATGATCAGTGATGTTGAACATTTTTTCATATGTTTATTTGCTATTTCTACTTCTTTGTCTGAGAAATGTCTGTTTATTTCAGATGCCAATTTTTGAATTGGGCCTTTCAATTTGGGGGTCTACTTTTTCTGAGCTCTTTATATATTCTAGACAGTAGACCTTTGTCTGAGGAACAGCTGGTAAAAATTTTTTCCCACATTGTAGGTTGTCTCTTCACAGTGTTGGTGGTTTCTCTTGCAGAAGCTTTTTAATAAGAAGAGATCCCACTTGTTGATTGTGCTAGTTCATGTGCAACTGAGGTTTTGTTCATAAAATCTTTTCCTAATCCAAGATCTTTGAGAGTTCTACCTAACCTCTCTTCCAGCCAGTTTAGTGTTTCTGTTTTAGTATCTATATCTTTAATCCAATTTCAATTTTAGTTTAGTGTATGGTGACAGATATAGGTCTAGTTTTAATCTTTGGCAAGTTGAAACCCAATTTTTCCATCACCATTTATCAAAGAAGCTACCTTTCCTCCAGTAAGGGTGTTTGGCTCCTTTGTTAAAGATGAGGTGCCCCAGTGTGTCTGGAGTTATTTCTGCATCTTCTAGTCTGTTCCACTGGTCCTTGGATCTGTTTCTTTGCCAGTCCAGGCTGTTTTTGTCACAGTAACTTTGTAGTATAGTTTTAAGTTGGGGATTGTACCTTGTCTTTAGCCTAGAATTGCTTTTGCTGTTATAGGTCTTTTCTTGTTCCAAGTGAATTTTTGGATTGTTTTATCAAGGTCTATGAAGTATGCTGCTGGAATTTTCATTGGGATTTCATTGACTCTATACAGCAGTTTTTGAAGTATGGCTATTTTTACTCTGTTGGTTCTTCTTACCAGGGATGTCTTTCCATTTTCTGATATCATCTTTGATCTTTTTTTCAGAGTGCTATAGTTTTCAGAGTAGAGGGCTTTGATTTCTTTCATTAAATTGATTTTAGGCATTTAATTTTTTTGTATGTTATTGTGAAAGGAATTGTTTCTCTAGTTCCTGTCTTAGTGTGTCTTGTTGTTTGTGTACAGGAAAGATATTGATTTTTGTGTGTTGACCTTGTATCCAGATACTGTACTGAATTTGGTTATTACCTCTAGAAGACTTTTGGTGGCATTTTGGGGTCTCCTATATAGAGTATTATGTCATCTGCAGATAATGACAACTTAACTTTTTCATTTCCTATTTTTATTCCTTTTATTTCTTTCTCATATCTAATTGCTGTAGCCAATGTTTCCAAAACTATATCGAACAGGCATGGTGATAATGGACATCCTTTGTCTTGTTCCTAATTTTAGTGTGAAGGATTTCAATTTTTGACCATTTAGTATGATACTGGCTATTGGTTTTTCATAAATGGCTTTTATCAGGTTGAGGTAGAGATCATCTATTCCAATTTTTTATAGGATTTTTATCATGAATGTGTGCTGGATTTTGTCAAATGCTTTTTCTGCTTCTATTGAGATGATCACATGGTTTTTGTCCTTGGCTGTATTAATATAAGTGTATTACATTTATTGATTTGCATATGTTGAACCATCCCTGCATCCCTGGGATGAGTCCCATTTGGTCAGGATGTGTGATCTCCTTGATGATGTCTGCATTCTGTTTGACAGTATTTTATTGAGGATATTTGCATCTATGTTCATTAGTGAGATTGGCCTGTAGTTCTCTTTTTTAGTTGGGTCTTTCTCTGCTTTTGGGATCAAGCTAATGCCTGCTTCCAGTAATGAATTTAAGAGTATTGCTTCCCTTTCAATTTCATTGAAGAGTTTAAACAGGAGTGGCAATGGTTCCCTTCTAAATGTCTTGTAGAATTCAGCAGTGAAGCTTTCAGGACCCAGGCTTTTCTTGGTAAGTTTTTAATTATGTTTTCAATTTCATTGATTGATATTGGTTTGTTTAGAATTTTTACCTCTTCTTTATTCAACTTTGGTAATTCATACTTTCAACTCCAATTTTTTAAAAAAAAATTACATCCCCTTTTCTTCTCTTATCTTTTCTTTTGATACAGGGTTTTGCTAATTTTCCCATGCTGGCCTCAACTTCTCAAACTTGTGATCCTCCTGCTTCAACCTCTTAAGTAGCTGGGATTGTAGGTATGGGCCCTTGCACCCAGTCTGGCTCCCTTTTAACCCTTGAAGCATATCAGCCTATCCCACCTGTAGGTGCTGACAGTGACAATGTGCTGGACACACAGTGACACAGGTACTGACAATGGCGATGTAGTGTATATAGTGTCACATACAATTACAGCAATGACAGTGTGGTGGGTGCAGTATCACCCTGTAACAAGTGTTAGTGGGAAGTCAATGATGCAGAAGTCAAGGATTGAGCCAACTCCCTGTAAAATTAACTATCTTTATTTTGAACAAATCTATTTTAATCTTTTGCTCAAAGTTGAAAAAGTCAACACCAATTTGTTTGTAATTTAAGCAGTTTTAGTCTGAGCTCTGAACAGATTTTGAACATTCTTTGGCTTTATTTTTCCTGCCATGTTCCAGGGACTCAAAGGTAAAACACATCTGTTAGCCTCGGTACTTGGAAAGCATCAAGTTTTCTTTCTAGAAGGATAGAAACGTTTTTTAAATCTCCTTTTTAAGCAGAAGGAATATAAAACTGTAATTCATGATACATGATACAATTTTTAAACTTTCACAATAAAAAATGGCCAGTTTTAATAATAACTGCTGTGAAGGTGTTAAAAATATGCTACCCAAAAATTTGCTTCTCCAGAATATTTGCCATTTTGAATTAAAGCCATTTAAAAACATAGCAGGTACCAGATTCTGGATATTTCTTTATTTATATATGACAGGGTCTCACCAAGTAGTTCAATGGCTGACCTTGAACTCATGGTGATTCTCCTGTCTCAGCTTCCTGGATGCTGGGATTATAGGAATGTGCCACCATGCCTGGCTCCTTTATTCTTTCTTAAAAGCAAGAGATAAAATTTCTATGTAAGAGAGATCTTCCCTATAGAATAAAATTCTTATCACCACAGAGAGAAATATGTACAGATAAACCTTGCTAAACTTACCTTTCTCTTTCCAGCAATTCTCTGCCAATTAACTGCCCTGACCCAAGCCCCTTGATCTTGTCCCATCTTCTGACCTGCCACTCTGTCTACTCCTGAGCTGGCATTGAGCTTCAAGGAGGGCAGACCCAGAAACAGCTCCAGGTTAATCACTAGGCTTCCACCCCATATACAGTGGACCCTTGACTTATGAACTCAATTCATTTGCAAGGGCCAGTTGTAACTCAAGGTGGTAAAATTGAAGGCTCAGGCTATCACAATACCCTCTTCAGGGCTGGCTCATGCCCAACTCTGATCCTCCCAACCTGCCCTCTTCAGACCAGCCAGACCTTGGCCTCTGCTTGCCACCTTAGTAGCTCCCCTGATACACATAATAAATGGTTCCTTATAGCCCTTTTGAGAGCGTGCATGACACAGCCACCTTTACCTCCTAGGGAAACCTAGATACCTTTGTGAGTCTTATGATATCTCAGGACCCTAAGTCAAGACAATATTTTTGAGTCCATGAAATGAACCATATTTCTTATATTGTCAATTATATTGAAAAAGTTTTCTAAATATTAAAAAAAACTCATATAATTACCTATACTTCTTTATTAGCTCATTAACAAGATCCTAGCTACAGGTCAAACAACTACCACAAAAGTAGTGGTTGGTATAAATGATACTCTGAAGTATTGTTTTGGAGTGTCTTCAGTGTGGTATGATATGAAATGATCTGTGCTGTCCAACAGTGACAAAGGCATAGGAAAGACCACTGCACATACAGAATTGAAGCAGAAATTACATTTCAGCTAGGGTTAGTGGAGTATGATTATTTTCCTGCTGAATTTCGTGCATCCCCTACATAGGCTCTGTGGGTTTCACTGTCTCTCTCCCAGTTTGTTCACCTTGCCTTGCTGTTTCCAGGCAGCTCTAACCCAGATGCACAGTTTACCTGGGGAATGTTCCCAGCAGGGTCCTGCCTGACTCATACACTTCCTTCCACCTGAAATGCCCTTACCTGAACCCTTATCATAGAGACGAGCCCTGCCCTTTCTTCCTGGCTGCTCCATAGCTGGCTGGTTTGATTTCTCTTTCTCTCTCTTTCCCCCTCCCTCCCTCCCTCCTTCCCTCTACCTTGTGAGTGTGGTTCCTCTTGTTTACTTGTCTGTCCCCTGCTGAGTAGGAGCTCTGGAAGCAGCTGTCTTCACATTTTCACCACTATTCCTGGTACCAAGCACAGGGCTGACACTCAGGGCAATTGTTCAATACTCATTAAATGCATAGATTTCTGGCCTTATAGGAAATTTGGAAAGATGGCGTTATTTTTTGTAATGGATAGTTGCCGGGGGCGGTAAACTAGAAGATTCTGCAGAATATTCTCCCTAAGTTTCAAAACTATTATGTTTGGACAATGGATAGTGGAGAGACTTTAGCAGTTTCAGCTTTTGGTACAATGAGAAGGCAAAGGCAGGGATGTCAGGACCAAGTAAGTTCGGGCAGGGCATTGAGGGGGAATTGAGGTGAGCTGGGTGTCCACCTCCCCTCCAGCCCCATCTGGCCAGAGATGTATTAGAAACGAATTTGTTTACCTTTATATTCTGTATTTATAGGGCAGTACTCCTAGAGCGTAGGATTTCAGTTGCATAAATAAGCTGTCTGGGTAATCAGTTGTCAGGATTTAATAAAAAACAACACGAAACAAAAACACAATTTGGCCTGCATTGTCCTTGCTTCTGTGCAACAAAAACACTCTAAAGCTTTTCCTCCCCTCTTTCTTACCCTGGAGTCTGATAGTTTCCAGCCTCTGACCTTCCCAAAAGCAGGTCTGGATACCACAGGTGCTGGGGGCTGGCACAGATACTGGATCAAAAGCAAAGGAGAAGAAGCTTTTCCCTCAGGATTCTCTAGTCTGGTGATCCTGCAGATACTGGGGCAGACAAGGTGTCCACAAATGAGCCAGCATTTTCAAGGATTCCCAGGAGTGGATGATGCTGCCTGGACTCTGGGCCTCCTGGATCCAGCCAGGGGTTCTGATCCAGAGGGAACAACCCTGGTTTCCCAAGAGATTCATCCCTGGAAGGAACATCCTCCTCACCCTGGGGCAACCAGGTAAGTTTCTGATGAGAATTCGATTTACTCCTCAGGAAGCTGGAGAAGGAAGCAGCTGTTGGGGCACTTTCTGTGAGAGGCTGGATGTCCTACTTACAGCAGTCAGAGTTTGCGATGCTGGCCCTAAACTTGATGCTGCAGACTCGGGCTGATCCCGAAGTGGGAGCTAGGACCGATGAAGCTGGAGGTGGGAGCTAGGGCCGTTGAAGCTGACTACCATTCTTGTCAACTTTGGCAGAGGTATAGTTTTCTTGGAGGCACTGTAGCTAGGAAACAAAGTCAAAAGAGCCCCCAGCTCTGCCCTGGCATTTCTTGTGCCCCTTTATTCCTGAGTGACTGCAATGGTCTGAAAAATCCATTTGGCAGGTGGATTGAGGGAATTTCATATTGTATTTAGAAATATTCTTAATTTTATCTTTATATTACTTTGAATCTCAAATTAGTAACAAAAAGAATGAGAAAGGTACATGATGGGGGGTTTTGGATCTAAGTTTGGCCATCTGTTAAAGGTGAGGGTGGTGTCATAATTTGATCCTCTAGAGATAAGTAAAGAAAGTTTATGGAGGTGAATTTCACAGGCAGTCACTTTCAAAAATTATTTTCTATTACTTTGATTCTTTGGCACATACCAAGAGCAAGTGCCAGGAGGTACTAAGCTCTGTGCTATCCCTAGATATTATGGTACCTAGAAAGAAGAGAGACACTATCCTTTTGATGCAGGCATGACAGTGCGTGTGAGGTAGGGTGCTAAGGGCAAGCATCTAGGGAGTGTGCCTCTGCAGGGGTTGGGGGCAGAAGACATGAATATGCTATCAACAACATATTTTGTCATTGGAACAAAGTGACATGTTTGAAAATGTAGCTAAACTAAAGTGACCCAAACATCTTCCATGTATGTGGTCAACTTGTGGTGATTACATAATAGATGTCTCACTGCTATCTGATCAAAACGCTCTGACAGAAGCTTTCCACATTGGTGTCATTAAGGCTGCAGCACTAGATGTGACACACCCAGAGCTCCTGTCCAAGTAACAGCACCTGAAGGAATCTATATGTCATTCTGAATGAATAGGCAGTGAATAACCGGTTCTGCTGAACTTGCAGCCTCTCAGAGTCCTGGAACCATGGGAGGTGGCCTCTGATAGCCCATAGCCTCTGATGGCCTATCTTGTTGGGTGTGACAGACAGTTTGGCCTCTAGGTCACCACCTCCCTGGACAAATCTCAGAGTGTAAACAGGTCTGAGACTAAAAGTTTGAAAACAACTGATCTAAAACTAAAAAAGTAATTTCAATATAAATCAGGAACATTAACATTTTAGATAGTTATAAATTTATTTGAAAACCTGTAAAGTCATATGATGTCTATGGTCTGTTCTGCTGAAATGAGCATTTTCATAAAAGCTGAGTTTCATTGCTGAGTGTGGTGGTGCATGCCTATAATCTCAGCACTTGGGAGGCTGAGACAGGAGGATCACTGCAAGCCTGGGCTACATAGTGAGTTCAAGGCCAGCCCGAACTACTACATAGTGAGACCCCTATTTCAATTCCCCCACAAAACTCAGGGACAAATATCAGGTTATGTCTAAAAGTTTAATTTATCATAAAAGTATCATGCTCCCCAAATCTCATGTAAATTCATTTCTGCAGCAAAGAAATTTGACAATTATTTATAACTAATTCAATTATTTGATATCCATTAATTTCTAGTCTTTATATTATGTCTATCAGCTGTGTTTGAATTTTCAGGAGAAATTTTGTTGTTGCTTACCATTGTGTGCTCTAATGTGAAAAAATAAAAGTAGGAATGTCAGGGTTAGTTAGTGACACTGCATAAATCTTTGCTTTGTAAAAGATTGTTATAAGATTATTTTTAAAAAGAAAACATTCAGGGGCTGGGGTTTTAGCTCAGTGGCACTGCACCTACCTTGTAAGCACAAGGTCTTGAGTTCGATCCCTGGTACAAAAACAAAAAACAAAAAACAAAAAAAAAAAGAAAAGAAAGAAATAAAACACTCATTTTTCAGGGGTGCCAGGGTGCTCAAGACCACCCTTAGAACAGCAATGTGAACAGAAAGGCTCACAGAATTCAGAAAAAATCATCTCAGTTACAGTCTATTTCAGAGAAAGAACATAGGTTGCAAAGGCAAGTGTCTCATGGGGCAGAGTCCAGAAGGGACAGGGCAGAAGCCTGCTGTTGCTCCCACCAGTGGAACTGTATGGAGAGTACTCACTCCTCCTTTGCTGTGTGACACATATATAAAGTGTGCCCACTTGGAAGAGATCCTGAGCCCCTGGGTGTCCAGGGCTCTACTGTATAGGCTTTGAGTGCCTGTGTGTCTGATCTTAGCTACTTGGTCTCTAGGCCCTGCAGGGTTCTGGCTGATTTAGGTGGCCCAGGTGAATAAAGCAGGCATTTACTGTAAGTGGCACTGCTGGTACCACTCAAAGCCTCAAGCATGAGAAGACTACCCCTACCAGGTCAGGTGTCTGGAGGGCTGAGGTCATCTCCTAGCCCTATCTTTGGATTTGAGTGATTTGAGTAACCAGCTTGCCTGGTGAGTTAATCCTTCACTACATAACCCCTGCCCCATATTGGCTTGGGCTCTAAAGAACAATATTCATATTTATTTGCATGTCTACATTTAGCACAATAATTTTCTGAATGACCTAAATAGCATCAGTATGACTATGCCTAACATTTAGAGGAGTCAGTATACGTCAGATACAGGTGTTAAGAACAACTAAATAATTCTATATTGCTTATCTTTTGTTTGGTTGGTTTTGATATTATGTCTCACTATATTCTCCAGGTTTTCTACAAATTTCTTGAGTTTAAGCAATTCTTCTGCCTCAGCCTTCTGAATAGCTGGGACTATAGGCTGGCACTGCCGTGCCTGGTGTTTATTTTTGTATTTTTGAAAAAGTTTGATTACTCACATTCCTTTGACCTACTGCTATATATATAAAACTCTTATTTAACATGTACAGAACAATTAGCTTAGAAATGAGCTGATATTTAGCCTACTCCACCTTTTCCTCAGACCAGTCATTTTCTATTGGTATTCTATCCTGAAGACGCCTTAGTTCAGTCTCCCAATACAACTGATCCCCAATGTCAGTATTACCATGTGGTCTGTTTACACAGGACTCTTGAATTTTACGAACAATGCTAGAATTTTAGCATATCCCACTATGGTCATGGTACAAGTCAGGTTCATTATAGAACAAGTAATTAATATTTTAAAAGGTATTTTTATGCCTTCCCAACTGAACCAGCCCTTGCCTATACAGTATATTAGATATTATTATAGACAGATATTGGTATAGCTGGCCATGATTGGATTATTTCTGAGTTCCAAGTGAATTGAGACAAAACCTACTGCCGTGTCTCTGTCCATGGGATTGTACTGAGAGAGACTGGTTTCCACCTGCTCCTCTGAGGATATGGGTGCTATTCTGAATAGTTCCTACCCCACTGACAATACTTCAGGCTGGGTCTTAGTCAGTTCTGGGAATGAGCACATTCACAACACCAGTATAAATTACAAGTACCTCCAGATAATTTCCAGAGGCTTAGGAGTCTGTATGACTCCTCAAATGTACCTCTTGATCCCAAGTAGCCAGGCGAGCTAAGGGCCAATTGTTCCACACCTACTTCAGCTTTTATGTATATCAAAATGGTTGAGAGCCCCTGTGGGTAAGTTTACATCCTTTTTCTGATGCTGGGGTCTAAGCATTAGGTTTGAGTATGCCTGACCCCTTCACCAAGCCCCATTGTCTTTCCAGGCTGACTTCTATCCCTTACCTTTCTCTAAGAAGACTACTCCCTTTAATCTACTAATTCTAGTTAATAGATCTTTTTCCTCTGAACACCATGACTCATTTAAAGCAAACTGAGCTTGTCCTGTGGGGTTTCACCAGTACCAGTCTCCCCTAAAGCCCTGTGCTGTCTTGTGGGCCAGCGTATCCAAATCCACCACCATGTGGTGCCACTGTATGCTAATAGAATTTATCCAGTTAGGATGTGCTTTGTAACCCAAAATGCTGGGTCTTCTAAATTAGGGTTAGTAGTTACATGTACATGGGTGAAATGGTGAGTGTGCACTGAGGCTTCCCTACATCAGGGTGGGGAAGTTAAGTCAAAGAATGAAGGTAAACAGACCATCTTCTCTCAATCTGTGTTTCAGAAAGCATCCTTTGTTGAAGTTGAGCATCACTCTGACACTTCACATTGGAAGTGCAACTTACCCGGCCAAATGATGGAAAATTTGGTTTAAAGCATCCTGGCTTCTCTCCATGGCCTTCCCATTTCTAATGAAGTGGTACTTGAATGACTTATGTGGACTGAGAATTGGGATGAAAATATGGCAGATTAAAATGGGAAAAATTTTAAATTTTTATGTACTTTACATATGTTATACCCATCATATAGATAGGTTTAATGCTGTTTGGACAGTGAAAAGCTTTAATCATAGTAATAGTAACGTCTATTGAAGTGATCTCACTTCATTCTTAAGACAGTTCTGTAAGGAAGGGTTCTATATTTACTTGACTAGTCTCAGCCTGAAAAGAGCTGAGTTTAAATGAAAACTCTGTTTGATTTTAAATTGAATTTGGATTAAAACCCTGGGCTACCGCCGGGCGTGGTGGTGCATGCCTGTAATCCCAGCACTCGGGAGGCTGAGGCAGGAGGATCTGTTGTGAGTTCGAGACCAGCCTGGGTTACATAGTGAGTTTCGGGTCAGTCTCAATTACATAGTGAGACTCTGTCTCAAAAAACCAAACCAAAACCAAACCAAACGAAAACAAAACCCTGAAGAAGAAACTAGCTGTAAGAATAGGAAGAACAGGGCCAGGGATTTAGCTCAGTGTCACCGTGCCTGCCTCACAAGCCCAAGGTTCTGAGTTCGATCCCTGGTACATACCCCCTGCCCCCCTCAAAAGAACAATGTGTTATTTGCAGCCTGGCAGGCAAGACGTTCTATTTACAGCAGGTTCCCCTCTGCGTTTACCTACCTAGGAAGGTGGCCCACCATGCTGTAACGGTCCGCTTTTGTGCAGCAAACACTCCTGCTAATTTCACTTTTCTAAAACTGCTGTAACTTTTTTTTTTTTTTTTTTTTTTGTATCAGGGATGGTACTCGGTATCTTGCGCTCGCGAGGCAGCCAGCGGAAGCACTGAGCTAAATCCCCGACCCTAAAATTCATTTTCAACCTGATATCTAAACACGTAGGAAGTAAAAGGCATGTATACACCGAGCAATGTTTACATCAGGGTAGACAGAGCTCTTCACACGTGGTTGTAACCTTCCACAACCCTTTCTTCCTGCTTTGCTGAAATGCGCAGTCCTTATCACTGTCTATCGTTCCATGCTTTGAAGCTGTGTTCCTTGCTTTGCAAAGTCAAAGGAGTACCGTGGGTTTCAAGTCTGAAGCCCAGACCTGAGCTAAGGACTCTCGGCCTCGGAGGAGCTCGCTCCAGGTCGGACCACCCTCGTCCCGCCCACACTCACCTCCTCCAACCACTGCTCTATTCGTGTTTCGCACCCCGCCCAAGTGCCCGCCCCCCCGCACTTTCCGTCGTCTCTCCACCAGCCTATCGCAGCGCCGCCCACAAGCCTTGCTTTAGCTCTTCCCACGCATCCCGTCGTGCCCCGCGCTCGCCTGTGTTCCAGCGAGCTCCGAGGCATGTGGGCTGCGGCTCGCCGGCTGTGGGGCCTGGGCACCCGGCCGCTCGCTCTGTGGGTTGGCGACGATATTGTGCGCCTTCTGGGCCCAGCGCGGGGCCTGCGGGGCTCCACGGCCTCCTATGGCAACAAGAACTTGCTCAAGAAGTTTGCCTCCAAAACCAGGTATGTGCGGGCAGTGCCTGCGGGGCACTGGCGTGTCCGCTGGGAACCGGTGTCCGTAGGGCTATCACCATCGACCCATCACCCTGACCTGCCTTGTTCTCACCCGCCTCCTTCTGTTTTATACGTTTAAGTTTCCTAAAACCTTACATTACATCAGGAACTTGTGTGGGGTTAAAAAAAAAAAGTAAAGTGATACTGTATGTCCATTTATTTTGATTCTAGTCACCAGAAGCCTTTTTCCTGGAGAGTAATTTCTTCAAAGAGGCAAAGAAGAAATACAGGAATTTTCCTTCCGGGGCCGTGATTTAGCTCAGTGGCGCCGCCTCCTGCCTAGCAAGCACAATGTCCCTAATTCGATCCCGGATACCCCGCCACCAAAAAAAAAAAAAAGAATTTTCCTTCCGTATTAATACTGACATTCTATGTGGCTTTAATTTGATGAATAAAGTTCGTCGTCAGTTTTTGCAATGATAACACATACTTTGATTTTTACACCACTTTAAATTCTACCTCGTATGGTAGATTTTTTTTCATAAACTTTAAAAAATACTTTTAGGTTTACCAAGTTCCCTTTTAGGGGTGTCTGGTTTACTTCTGTTTAAATCCTTAAATTAGCATTGCATATCTGTTAATGAAGTGATATTGAGCCAGGAGTGGTGGTGCATGCCTGTAATCCCAGCACTCTGGAGGCTGAGGTCTCATTAAGTTACTAAATTAATTGCTCAAGCTGAACTTTCACCAGCAATCTTCCTGCCTCATCCTCCTAGAGTGCTGGGATTACGGTTATGCACTACCCTCCCCAACTCTTCTTTCACCTTTTCTGTACTTTTTTCTTTGGGAGGAAGTCTTTGTATAGCTATTGCTAAGGAGTGGAGAGTTATGTTCGTGAATTATTTACAGTGTGTGTGTGGAGATACATCTCTTTTGTTAATTCACAATGTGGACTCATAGATTATAATCCAGTATTACTTATCTTGCTCATTTTAGGCCATTAGGAGCCCTTTCAGCTCCTCTGTCCCTGTGACATACCTTATCATTTGGGCTTTTGCTGTATATGTTTGTGTGTACACATATTTAGCACTTTATTTTCTGGCACTGTAAGATGATTGAGATTCTTTTTATATACTCCTGCCTCAGCCTTAAAATCATTCATTTCTCCTGGGAGCCTGGTTATTGGAAAATGGTGTTGTGAAAACATTGTGTGCCAGGTGTGCTTACTTTTACTGAGGTGTCCGTCTTTTGGTCCCTCTAAGCTGAAAAACCAAAAAATAGATGTTTTGAGTACTCTTTGTATATATGCTCACCTAAAATAAACATTTTTATATGTAACCGTCTGTTTCTATCTCTAGTGTACCACCACATGGATCATTTAGCCTCTTTGCCATTCCTGCCTGTAATTCCCTCTCCACCAGTAAGCTCCTCCCATTAACTACCCAGTTGTTCAGTGACTGCGTAGGTGTACAGCTGCATGTTAGAACTGTCAACGTATACCTCCATGGGAAACCACTTGGTCAGCTAGGCGTTGTGCTTATGTGCCACTCAGGAGACAGTTTTGTTTTGTTTTTGATAATGGGGGTTTAACCCAGGGATTTCACATTGAGATATAACCCTGGCCCCTTTTAATTTTTTAAAGTCTTGCTGAATTGCCCATTTCTTAGATCTCTAAGAATATACCTTCTCTGTTGAAGGTTAGCTCCATATATAATTGTGCTGTTATACCCTCTTACGGTAGTTTATGTAACACTTTTTTCTTTAATTTGCCATGTGGTTCAGCATAATTTTTATTTTCTCTCCATAGAAAGAAGTTTTGGTATGAAGGTCCTTCCCTGGGGTCTCACTTGGTAAGCATTGAGCAGTAGTGGTGGCCTTTATGGTCATGATAGGAGAATGTTTTAAAATTTGGCAAAGCAAGGGCTGGGGATGTAGTTAAGTGGTGCAGTGTCTGCCTGGCAAGTTTGCAAGTTTGATCACTGGTACCAGGGGGGAAATGAAAGTTGGCAAAACTTTTGCCTGACTTTCCACTTGAGTTCTGGTGAGGACTGTCTGTGTGGGTGAGCGTGGATGCCCCTGGAACTGTGGATTTTGGCCATTTATGAGGAAAATTTAGCAACTCTGAAGTTTTCTAAAATGTCCTGTTATCAAATTCTAATACTTTAACATCTGTTCACTTTTTAGTGAGTGTGCATACTGTAGAAGTTTATATGATAACTGGTTCCAGTTAGAAAAAAATAAACATTGTATATACTAAAATTATTGAACCATACATTTTAATAGGGTGAATTTATGGCATGTGAATTATATCTAAAAAATTAATTTTTGGAAGAAAACCAAAAATTAAACTGGCAGTACTTCTAATCTTGGAGGACTGGTGGGTAAAACTAGAAGGGTCGGGCTGGGGATTTGACTCAGTGGTTCCATCACCTGCCTCGCAAGTGCAAGGACTCAAGTTCAATCCCCAGTACCAAAAAACAAAACAAAAAAACCAGAAGGGTCCAGTTCTGTGGGACAGACTTCACAGCTCTGAAGTGAGGTTATCTATCTAGTTTTCATTCAAGCCCTCACCAGCGGTAAGTCAGTGGCTATAGTTAATGCTGCCTTTGTTTCATGTGTGCTCTTCCTCTTAATGGAGACTTACAAGCCATCCAAGTTGGAATCCCTCCTGAAGGCTACCTCAAAGAAGACAAGGAAGGAAGACTATGTGCGCCTGAGGGCCCTGAACGGCCTCCTCTACAAAGCCCTGACAGATTTGCTGTCCACGCCAGAAGTGAACCAGGAGGTCTATGACCTGAATGTGGAGCTTTCCAAGGTAGAATGTGAGGCTAGAGGTGTAGAGATGGTATGAGGATGGCAGTCTCACCTAACTTCTCACTCCCATGATCTTGGTTTGGAGCAGCAGAGTTGATACTGAGTCTGATTGTTTAAATCTTTGCGACAGAGGTTACCTATGCTGCGGTCCAAAGGCAGCTAGTTTATCTGCAGCCTAAGGACTATACAGCCCCTAGCTTATTGTCAGTTATCCAGCCAATGTGAGTAAATGGTCTGAGTATGCGCTGAGGTCTGGACACACCTGCCATTGTTTTGGCATAATGACAAAGAAGAGCCTATAATCCTAGCACTCTGGGAGACTGAGGCAGGAGAATCACAAGTTTGAGCCCATCCTAGGCAATTTAGCAAGATCCCATCTCAACTCTCAAAATAAAAAAGCCCTAAAGGGATTGAGGTCAATGGCATCATGCCTGCCTTGTAAACACAAGGTCCTGATTTCGATCCCTGGTACCACAAAAATGAATAAAAAGGCCGTAGAATGTAGCTCAGTACAAAGTCCCTGGGTTCAAAAACAAAATCAAAAAAGGGTCATCTAGCCTTCTCAGAGGGAATTGAGCCAAAAGGACAATAGACTTGGGTGTTTTCAGTGAGTATTTCAGGAAATAGCCATTAAGCAAGTGCTGTGGGTTTGAGTAGGGGTTATCCTAGTGGCATCAGGACCTGGAGAAGATGGGAAGATGAGTTTTGTTTCTGTAGCCCTGCTTCTCTAGCTGTTGTGCTCTGTAGCAGCAGGTGGTGAACGCCGTCAGGGTGCTATGGGAACAGTGGGTTTTAGGATAAGAAAGAGGGTACTATAAGGGAAGCTGCGGTTTTCACTTCCAGAATGTTGTCTATGTGAAAACCCCTGTGAATTAAGTAACTTGTGGTTGGGTCGTGGGTCTCAGGTCTCTCTGACTTCAGACTTCTCAGCCTGCCGTGTGTACTGGAAGACGAGTCTCTCTGCTGACCAGAATAAGCACACAGAAGCTACCCTGCAGAGGAATGCCGCATACATGAGGTGATGGCATTTGCTTTCTATATTATACTTAACTTCCTCTTTGCACCGCATGTTGCCCAGCTGTTTCACTTCTAGGTAGACTTTAAATTTTTCTCATTAAAGATTTTGTGTGTAGGGAAATTTTTGGAAACATTTTCTTGAATTTCAAAGCATAATGTGCATTTTCCTATAAGGTCTAATCTAGTTAGCTTTTCGCAAAGTTTAGTAGGGATCTAAAGATCCCATCAGGGGCTTTGTAAAGTTAAAACTGCTTATAGCAGCCAGGCATGATGCACTCACCTATAATCCCGGCTACTTGAGAGGCTAAAATGGGAAGATTGTAAATTTGAGACTAATCCTAGCAACTTTACCAGACTCTGTCTGAAAATTTTTAAAAATGAGCTGGAATGTAGCTCAGGGGTAGAGCACTTGGCTAGCATGCATGAGGTCCTGGGTTCAATGTCCAGTACAGAAAAAAACAGAAACAAAAAATAAAGAGATAAATTAATTTTAAGTAGGGGTATGGCGCAGTGGCAGAGTCCCCAGTGCTCAAAAAAAAAAAAAAAAAAAAAAAAAGAAGAAGAAGAAACCACACAACTCACTACTTTTGCAATACTAGGATGTATTTTATCTTTCTCATTGTTGTTGAGTGTGGGACCTATTAGTGCTGTTGTTGCCAGTGCTCATCATGAAACACAATGCCACTTTCACCTGAAAGTAACCCAGATGAACAAGCAAAACAAAAAAATCAATTTTACAAAATCTAGACTGAGTTTATGTGCTTGTAGCATTCTTTGTGGTGGGAAGCACTTAGAGGTCATGGCTACAGAGGCATGACAGCCTCTGGAGAGGCGGGGAGAATACTGCACAGAAAGTATGGGAGAACTTGTAGCTCTATAGGTGTGAGCATCTGGCAGACATTCCCAAAAGTGAGCTAAGTGAACCTGCTATTTCCATGGCCAGTATTAAAATGTAAACTTTGAAGTAAAAACCAGAACTGTAGAAACTGGTATCCAGTTCAAAACCTTCAAAGAACTTAAAGATTCCTCTGATGACATTGGTGACTTTTAACAAATAAATGTTGTATGATAAACTGTCAGTGTTCTGAAAATCTGCATTACTGTTGACCCCTTATCAACAGTGAGGAAGATAAAAGGTCACAAAACCATGCATGGGTAGAAATTCCATTCACTTGTGGAGAGATTGGTGTGTTTTCATATCTCAGAGTATGATGTGTCAGTTGGTATGGATTGAGCTTCCAGATTTCAGCTGACCTTTAATTTGTTGGACTCTGTGTGTAGTGTGTGTGTAGGATCAAAGAAGATTCACAGTTTTCTGAAAGCTGAACCCGAGGCCCATGCATGCAAAATAAGTGCTCTGCCCCTGGGCTTTATCTTTAGCTCTTTTTTCCTTTTGTGTTTTGAGATAGAGTCTCTCTAAATTGTCCAACTTTGTCTTGAACTTGCAGGCTTCTTGCCTCAGCCCCTTGAGTAACCAGCATTACAGAATGCATCACCCTCCTCACCTTCTGAAAGAATGCACATGCAGTGATGAGGCCCCATCATTCTTCCACAAAGCAGGCCTCAAGAAATATGTAGCTGTTCTCAGTACACTTTTTTTGTTTTGTTTTGTTTTGTTTTTTTGAGACAGGATCTCACTATGTAGTTGAGACTGACCTGGAACTCACTATGTAGCCCAGGCTGGTCTCGAACTCACAGCGATCCTTCTGACTCAGCCTCCGAGAGGGTGGCTATTACAGGCGTGCGCTACCCACGCCCAGCCTCAGTACACTTTTTAAATATATTTTTCATTTAAAATCTCTGTGTTAGCATTTAGTGGCTTTATTGTCATTTAAAATGATGTAATATACTTAGATTTTTTAGTTTTAATTTCTACTATAAAATTGTTAGATATAACTACCTAAAGAAAAGCTTTTTGGGATTCATAGTAATTTTTTTTAGCATGTAAAGGGATCCTGAGACCAAAAGTTTTGAATCACTGATCTGCGCAGTAGTAAAGAACTTAACTCATTTTTCTCCTCTGTCAAAAAAATACAGAAATCCAGCTGACCAACCAGTGCTCGGGGTCAGATGCTTTCTTCCTGCCTTCCCCTTCTCTGCTGTTCTTGTCTCCTCACTTACCGTCAATGAGGAGACAGTGCTGGGAGTGAGTCACTCGTGCGACTTCATCCAAACAGAAACTAGCATTTTCCTATGTTATCTTGAGCTCTCTGCTTTATTGTTATTGACACTCACTGCAGTGATCCCTAAAAGTCTCTAAGACTATCAAAGATTGGTCAATTTCATCTTTTACTATTTAACAAAAAAATGAGAAAATGAGAAATTTTCAAGAACTTCTGATGTAATAGCATTGTTGTTTTCTAGTTTTTAGGTAATCAGAAAATTTGGTTGGGCTAAATGTCCCATTTCCCAGCTCTTGTGGTCACCCAGCATTTCAGTTTTCTTGCTGAGCCCCGGATTCCTGTGGGTATTTTTTGTGGGTGAATGTGCCACATCTAGCTTGAACTCTCATATCATGATTGTGAGCAGTGCTAAGATCCATTCTCCCCAGTATCTGGAGATGTGAGTGTGAAGTTGTGTTGAAAGAACTCTTAGCATCCAAACCCCACGGGGCTGCAGGCAACTCCCTATGTTCAGATGAGGTTATTTATAGTGATCTCAGTTGCTTTGGAAGAATTAAAAGCATTTGCAGTTACAATACCTTTTGTGTCCTTTTGGAACATGGCAACTCACTGAAGAAGGCTTGCAGCATTATTTTTTTCCTTGTCTTCCTTTTTCCTTCTTTCTATTTTGTTTTGTTTTGTTTTTTGTTTTTTGTTTTTTGTTTGAGATAGGGTCTCACTATGTTGCTCAGCCTTGTTGAGCCTTGAACTCCTAGGCTCAAGTGATCTCCCACACCAGCTTCCCAAGTGCTGGGATTGCAGGTGCAGGCCACTGTGCATTTTCACCTGATTTACAGATGAGCAAATCTCATTTCTAGCTTTGTGAGATTGTCATGTACCTTGCACTGTGCCCCCGTCTGCTAAATGTCAAGGTACAGTCTGAATCATGTAGTCTCTGTTCTCTTCCTCAGGCACCTTTTGATGTCCCAACAGACCCTCAGAAATGTGCCACCAATAGTGTTTGTCCAAGACCGAAGAAATGCACTTCTGGCTGAGGTAAGGCTTTTAAATTTTTTTTTTTTTTTTTTTTTTGAGGCAGGGTCTCACTATGTAGTTGAGACTGACCTGGAACTCACTATATAGCCCAGGCTGGTCTCGAACTCACAGCAATCCTCCTGCTTCAGCCTCCTGAGTGCTGGGATTACAGGCATGCACCACCACGCCCTGGCCTAAATAATTAATATTTTTATAATACAAACTTTTATATACATAAAATTTTAAGCAAGTTTTTAAATACTTGAAGGTAATGTAATTTTTAGAAAAAAAAAAAACATTCTGGAGGATACAACTGTGTTCCCATCTAAGGCCCAGAGGTGCTTCTTCTGGTTGTAAGTCTGTATGCTCATTATTATATTTCTGATCAGTGAGCAAAATGGCTGTTTTTTGTGCCCTTGAGCCAGCTAGAGTTGCCTTCCCACACTTGCCCTGCCTCTTACCTCCTTCCAGCCTCTGATTTTTCTGTGACTTCACACCATTGAGCCGATAAGATTCACATTTTGCCTTGTCACTTTTAAATGTTTTTGCCACCATTTTCCTTGCTTTACAGGTTGGTTAGTTATAAAGTTTTAAAAAACTGGGGCTGGGGATTTAGCTCAGTGGTTCTGCTGCCTGCCTCACATACACAGGGTCCTGATTTTGATCCCTGGTACCAAAAAACCTGTGCATACATAAATGTTTTATGTGGGTAGTAGTTATTTGGTAGTTATTGAACTATATTATGTCTGAAAATCATTTACCCAAAATCAGCAGTGTTTATAATATTATAGTTAGATAACTATTATTCACTAGAGGACCAGATAAGATTTAACTATACAGAACAAAAATATGCAATTTGACATTTTTATCTTTTGTTGCTCATTGCACAGGTAACACTGAAAACATTGCCCGAGTAGTGACCTTGACAATTAATGATTTCTCCAGCTAGAAAAAGGAGTAAAGCTGCTGTCCTCTATAAGGCATCAGTGCAATTTGGCTTGTGCTGAGTTGAACAGGCCCAGGCTGAGCTCCCCAACATATGGCTCCTATTGTTGCTAGGAGACTGTGTTAGTTACTTTTCTTGTTGCTAAGACAAAATACCTGACACCCAAAGTTAAAGGAGGAAAGATTTATTTGGCTCACAGTTTGTAGAGGTTTCAGCCCACAATTGGCTAGCTCCAAGGCAGGGTGGCTTGGCAGACAGGTGTAGCAGAGGAGAAACAGTTCATGGAGGAGCAGAAGGTAATAAAGCAAAAGCAATAAGGAACTTTAATAGCGTCTTTCTGCCCCTTTCATCTTATCCAGACTACTTAGGATGGGTAGCATCTACACCCTTAATCCTAGTGTCCTTGAGCCTAACATTGTATCATGAATCAATTCCAGCATTACATACTAGATCACACTACCTCTGAAAAAGCCCATGATCATATGAAGCTTTGGGAGAACATCTAGACTGTAAACAATGGTCATACTATTAAAGATATAGGGGATTGAGAATAAGAGACTGTGAAAAGAAAAATTTGAAAACTTAAACAAAGATGAGGAAAAAAGTGAGACAAATGATACATTGTGGAGTGGAAGGACATTTACAGAATTAAAGATAACAAAATATCAATGAGAAATAGGTAAAAAAAAAAAGACCATAACAATATGAAAAATTAAAAAATAGAAAAAAATGAGAAGAAAAAAGTAAAAAAAAAAAAAATCAGGCGTGGTGGCATATCCCTGTAATCCTAATGATTGGGAGACTGAGCCAGGAGGATTGCCACAATTTCAAGGCAGTCCTGGTTTAAGGTTCTGGTTTAAGGCCAGCTTAAACTACATAGTGAGATTCTATCTAACTACATAGTGAGATTCTATTTTCAAAAAATAAGAAAAAGAAAAATCAATCCAAAGGAAAAAAGTGAAAATAGAAGGAAAAAATGGAAACAAAGCTTTTTAGACATAGGGAGGGCAGAGGGATTGAGGCAGGGGAGGAAAGAGGATAAAATAAAATAAAATTTATTTTAAAAAGAAAAAGAAAATGAGGGCCAGGCATCTAGCTCAGTGGCATTGTGCCTGCCTCACAAGTGCAAAGTCCGGAGATCAATCCCTGGTATTGGGGAAGAGGAAGAGGGGAAGGGAGAAAGAAAAAGAAAAAGAAAAGAAGCAGTCCAGAAGCAAAGAAATTTTGTATTTTTGAATGATCAGTTTTGGAGTACAGCATGTCTTAGTTTTCTCCACCTTGCATTCTGTCTTGTGGGTTTGTGAATTATCCCCCCTGTTCTAAAGGGCCCTCCTTTTATCCCAGACTGTGGCAGCGTTCATGTTAAGATATGTCCTTGTTTATGTTGGATAGGGAAGGCAGTCAGACCTCTGATCTGTGCTGCATGTAGGTATCAGAGTAATGGTTCAAGTACTTAATGCTGAAAGGCACTTTCAGACGCAGTTGTTTTTGAGAGCAACTCAGCCAAGCCTGAGATTAAACTTCTCAGAGGATCTCTTTCTAGCTCAGTCCCTATCCATGGCTGTTTCCCATGTTTGTCTCTCATCCAGTCACTGTGGGAAGGTAATACTGGGGGCCCTGAAGTGAAGTTGTATTTTAGTTGTTCTGAGTCCCAGATTTAAATAACACCTTCCCCAAATGGGGCATGATGAAGTGCACTCTGGTGTCAGCAGGTCCCTGTGCTTCAATCCCTTTCATGCTGTTGCCTGCCCTGTGGAAAGAGTCCCCTTGGAGCAAAACCCCATGTTTTTGCAGTTTACGAAGACCATGGACTTCACTGCCATTTCTCCCTGGATCTCCCAGCCCTGGGCATTTGCTTCTGGGGAGCCAGGTTTCCCTCCCTGTGCGTTTCAAGAGCTGAGGAAAGAGTCCAGATTGTTTCCTTGAATATCTGTTGTTTGATTCAACTGATATTTAACTGATTTCTTAATAGGTTTGTCTAAAGTTTACAAGTTTTACACATCTCAGTTCATCATCAAAGAGAAAATTACATGTTAAAAACTATTGTGTTTGAAAGCTCAAACTATAGAGCAGGTCCCAGTGTGGAGGAAGTGTGCACAGAAAGAATTAGATGAAGTCCATCCCAGGAGACCAGTGCTTGGTCCTGTTTTAGAGACAGAGACACTGAGTGTTAGGAGTGGGAGGTGCAGCCTACCTTTTCCCTGTGCTTCCTTTTCAGGTTGATCAGTTGCTGGAAATAGCTGATTTTGGACCTGTAGATGAAATAGACAACTCAGCACAACATGATTTCAGGTGATGTTTATTGAAGTGTGTTCTCGTTCTATGGGGTAGCCTTAGGCATAGAATTGCTATTTTCCACAGCTATATGGCCTGTTTCCCTAATGGCCATTTGCCCTGGGCCCAGCAGGTGTACACGTGTACAGGTCCATGGGTTCAAAACCATGACTCAACCAGTGAGGAAGGGAGTGTCTCCCTCTCTTTATTTGGTCAGTGCATTTTCATTGAGTGCCTGCTGTATTCCAGGCCCTGCTCCAGGTTTTAGGTACAGCTCTGAACATCACTGAGTGGTCGGTCCCTGGTGTGGAACACACATTGTGCTAGGGGAGTGTGATTGTCACAGATGAGTCCATTGTAGTTAGGAAGAAGAGTATAGAAAAGTAAGGGTTTACATGACTGGTAGAGGTCCGAGAAGGCTTTGAGGAATATGACATAGCGTATGGGGGAGGGTGTGAGCCTGGAGAACAGAGATGTTTTTGTGGAGAGGGCACTGTTCCAGGCATGGGACAGCCAGCATCCATATCCCTGGGCACCTGGACCCATAGGGTCCAGCAGTACTTCTGCAGTTTAGCCTACAGATGTCAGCAGAGACCCCACACCATACCAGTCCTGGCACATCTTGGACTGGTAAGGGGACAGCATTGTGGAGTAGGGAAGGGAGCTAAACCAGGGATCAGAAGGGATCAGAGGATGATGTAACTATGCTCAGTTTTGCTTCCAAGAAAACTGGCATGTGGTGCATCAGAATCCTAAATGACAGCACTTCTAGGCCCACTTATACTTTTTTACTGGCCGTGCTTAGATGAGAAAAGTTGAAAATCCTTTTAGTGACCATGCTGAATGGCTGCACAGGATTGTGTTGCCAGCTGGTTCTGATGCTGGAGAACCGCAACTGGAGTCCCCTTCCCATAATCCAGTCACTTCATATACATGGATGTTCAGGAGCAACGGCATACCTATGCGGAAATGTAGGACATGCCAGAGGTAGCATTTCACCCTGGTTTGAGGCTTGGCTTGTGCTTGATGTAAAGGCTCTTTTCTTCTCCTAGGAGCCCTGATGGCCTGTCATCACATGATCCCCCAGGACCTGCCACATACTCTCATCTGTCTGGGATCGATCATGATGCACTCAACAAACAAATAATGGAATATAAACGGAAGAATGAGAAAGGACTCCGGGACATAAACTTGGTGCCACCTGGGCAGGAGCAAATGGCTAAGCTGCCACAGTGGGTGAGGAAGAGAAGGAAAGCCCCACCCCAAGAAGACCAGGATATTTCTCCCAGGAGTTTCCTCTTGGGTGAGGAGAGTGAGGACGAGGATGAGGACGGTACCCTGGGGTATGGATACGAATCCCAGGAAGGAGAGGAATGGGAGGCAGAGCCTGGAGGTGGTGGGACACAGCAGGACTTCCATGGCAGAACAGAGCAAGGGTAGTGTTGAGGCTTTAGGCTGCCTGTGTGGGCCTGTAGGAGAAAAGTGAGCTTTTGTGTGAGGTATGTGGACTATACTGCAGAGGACAGTTATGAATTGGCTCTTGGTTGTATTGAGGACTCTCCTGCTGTTCAACCATCAACAGTGTTCTATGTATCTAAACAAAATTTCCAATACAGAAGTCACTGTTGTTCTTTCTCCAGCACTCTGTGTGTAATAAAAAAAAAATCACCCAGAAAAATTAAATAAATCACTTATCCCATCAGTGAGATCCTCAGACATGAAGACAGTAAAGCATCTAGTCCAGGCACATCCACAAAGCTAGGCTGTAGCCGAAGAGGGCAGGATGGAGGCTGCAGGTGCTTCGTGCTCTCATATCTCAAGAGTGGCTTCCCCTCAACACTTGTGGGCGCATTTTTCACCTTCTGGTTTAGGCATGGTTGAACAAAAAGTATATGTCAGTGGGATGAAGGGCTCCCAGGTGATGCTGGTTGTGCCTGAACTCCATTCACCTCTGAAATAATGACAGACTTGCCTTAGTGCCTCTGTCCATGGTGGCATTTTAAAAAAACACCCATGCAGATGTCCAACAGGTAGGTCTCTGCCTTTTGAGGAACTTGAGATCTTGGACACAGGTCGCGAACAGCTTTTCATTTTATCATCTATATCAGAAGGAAAAAAACCTGTGCTCCATCATATGAATTGTCTTGGTTTATTTATTTATTTATTTAGTTTTTTGGTACCAGAGATCGAACTTGGGACCTTGTGCTTGCGAGACACCACTGAGCTAAATCCCACAGAAAAATCATTAACAAAAGGTGTAGATATGTTAAAAATGTGGCACTTAAACTATGGAACAGCATTAGCTTGCTCAGCTGGGAGTCAGATTATGTTTTTTTGTGGGTATCTTCAAATGACAAAAGTACTATAATTACAACCAGTGACAACCAGAAACTTCTAGTGACAACCAGTGATAACCAGCAGCTACTGATAGTTATAACCACAAACTACTAGTGATAACCAGTGACACGTAGCAACTGTCAGTAGTAACTGTCAATAACAACTACTAGTGACAATCAGCAGCTACCATTAATAATGAGAACCAGCCAGCAGCTACCAAGAGCTAATAACAAGAAACTGGCCAATAACAACGAGCAGCTACTAGGAACAACCAGAAAAAGGCTTTGATACATTGAGTTTGTGTTCTCTAAAATTAAAGAATGAATTTTAGGAACAACAGGTTAAGAGTAGAAAAATATTTATTGAGAGGATGACTCCTGAGAGGCAAGAGGGGTCCTGAATAGGTAGCCAAGGACCCCACTTTATATGGAAGTTTATAGAGCAAAAACCACATGGGTACAATGTGGGTTAAAAGTATGATCAATAAGTTTACAAGTATAGTAGCTTAGATAATAGTGAACCAGTGGGGAAACAAGTCACGTAAGTGTATGGAAAGAACAAAGGCTTCTCTTAGGAAATGATGGGTTCAGAGGTCTTGGTCACCCACTGGGGTAACTAATGTCTGTCTACACTTTATTAGGCCAGCTCTTAACTCTTGTTCTATGCGGAAGTACTACATGCAGGCTTCATCATTTTGTCTTAAATATTTTGAGTCCTGTTCTCCAAAGAATGCATCTCGGGCTGTGGTTGTATTGTGTTTTGCCTTTATCCTGACTCTCTCAAGGGCCTAGCCCTAGCTGACTGCCTATAGTATTTCTACAACTTAGCCATCTATAATCATAGCAACACTATGTTAACCATTTTGGGGTTGTCAATTCCTAGAAGTGTTCATGTTGATGGGACTGTGAAAGTGATACAGAAACTGCCACTTTCATTTCATTCAGTTACATAGATTGGCATGAGCTCAGGGTTTTGTTTTACTCCATAGCTATATTCTGTTACTGTGTTATTGTATTCTGAGTCTTACATTGACCCCAGTGTGGGCCTTGGTAATTTGTATCAATTTCCTGTGTCTGCCCTAACAAAGCACTAGGGAAAACAATAAAAATTTACTCTACCCTATAGGCCTGGAGTCCAGAGAAAAAAGTATTTTAGGACCATCCTTCCTCCCAGGGAGCCAGGAGGGTCCTCTTCAGCCTCAGTGACCCAAAGTGCTATTGAGCTCTGCCTCCATCCTCAATACCTCGCTCTCCATTTGTCCAGTTCATTCTCTTATGCAGTCCTTGAATTTAGGACCCTACCTTAAGTCCAGGATCATCTCATTTGGAAATCTTTAATTATATCTGTGAACACCATACTTCCAAATGAGGTCAGTTCTGAGAATGCATGTCAGCCCACCACAGTACATCTCAGACTGGCTGCTGTTATTACAGTTGAGTGGGCTAGTAATAGTTGGGATTCTTGTGTGTGAGGAAAGAATTGCCAAGTGATGGTATTGTAGATATGTAAGTTAATTAGATATCTTGTTGGCTGTGAGGGCCAGCCTGTGAGGAGCCAACATGGAGAACAATCAATATACATTCACTGAAAGCCAGCATTGTAAAAGGAGAGAAAATATTACACCCATGTAGGATGAATAGCAATGACTGATATTCTAAATAGGTACCAATCACCTGGGTGGGGGACTGAGATCTTCCAATAAAGATCCCTGACCTGCCCTTTACTGAAAATCCTTGCTCATTCCTTGTAAGCTTGCTATGTGACTTGCATCCCCATTGGGTCCCCATTTAATCAATATCTCCTAAGCAAGTATACTTGTAATCGTATTGGTTGATCATGGTTTTGCTCACTTTGCGATTTCTCTTTGGGTCAGTATTACCTTAGCAACTGTACTTGGAATCTTAATAGTTGACTATAGTCTCACCTTGAACCCACCTCACCTTGTGGCTCTGTCCCTTAAAACACCTTTGAGAAGCAGGGTCAGTCGGTAGCTCACTTCCTGGGCCCCATCTGTCTCTCTTAGAAGCTGTCTTTCAATATATTTTTCCTACTCCTAACCTCTGTTGTTTCTAGAATTCATTCTTTGATTTTAGAGAACACAAACATATTTAGCAGGTTTGGGAGTTACATCTATTCCCCCTGTATCAATGGGAGGCTGAGGCAGGAGGATCACCATGAGATCAAGGCCTGCCTGAAATACAAATGAGACCCTAGGGCCGGGTCATTGGTATCACTGCCAGCTTTGCAAGTGCGAAGTCCAGAGTTCGATCCCCGGTACCAAAAAAAAAGACCCCCCCCCAAAAAAAAACAATTACCAAGGGCCAGGGATTTAGCCCAGTGGTTCAGGCACTTGCCTCACAAATGCACAGACCGGAGTTCGATCCTAGGTACCAAAAAAA